GGAAAGGAAGCAAGCCAATAAATGCACAACCTGTACATGCAGAGCAGAACCTCACAGAGAGATGATGGACCTGCCAAAGTCCAGGGACAAGGAGATGTAAAGATGAGTCTGGATGACCACTTGGAAGATGTGCATGGAGCTACAGCTCCAGGTTTTTGCACGAACAGGATAGCAGAGGCACTGAGGTAGTCATGCCTGCTCTCAGACCCACTGCCTGAGGGGACGTGGAGGGTCTGAAGGACAGAAAGTGCCACCCCGACCCCCAGCCCTGCCACAGGGCTGGGACGATGTGAAAGATTGGTGGACTGGGGAGAATCTTAACCATCATCAATAACATCCCAAGTCAGCAATCACAGAATCACAGAACTGCAGGGGTTGTAAGGGACCTCTGGACATCAAGTCCAACTCCCTGCCAGTGCAGGACCACCACAGAGTCTATGGCAGGTCACTCAGAAACACATCCAGACAAGCATTGAAAGCCTCCACAGAAGGAGACTCCACAGCCTCTCTGGGCAGCCTGTCCCAGGGCCCTGTCACCCTCACAGGAAAGAAGTTTTTCCTCATGTTGAGGTGGATCTTCCCGTGCTCTAGTTTGCATCACACTGCTAAGCTGGTCCCCCTGAGCCCAGCGCGAATCCCACTGAACCCCAAGGGAGTTTGTGGATTTCACTGTGAAATTACAGCAGCAAAGCTAACTTCGCCCTGCCAGGGAGGCAATGTCCTGTTCCCTGCAGGGAAACCAAGAGACCAGGCCCTGGTGCTGCTGACAGAGGGGGCCAGAGCCAGAGCTGAGCAGACGAGGACAAAAATCCTGCCCCGTGTCCTGTGCTCAAGCCCCCAGGCCACGCTCAGCCTCTCACACACACCACGCAGCAACCAGGCTCCTGAGGCTGTGCTGGAAAACACCCAAACCCTCTCCAGCACAGCCAGGTGACATCCCACCAGAGCCACATCTCCCACGTTCCTCCAGCTGACAGAGCAGAGCAGCCACACACCAGCACACCTGCCTGCCAGGGAACCCGCTCCCGCCACAGTGCAACCAGCTCAGCCCTGCCAAGGACATTGGCCCCAGAATTCTCCATTGGCCCCAGAATTCTCCAGTGGCCCCAGAATTCTCCAACAGCCCCAGTCACACAACACTGCCAAAGCCTTCCCCTCCTAATGGACTGCAATTCTTTTTTTGTCCCCCTGCTAAGTCCCAAAGCACTTATCGCCACTGCGGGGCAACGTGCAATTTGCATGTTTTAACTGTCTGATTTCTCTGCTCTTGCGCTACACAGAAATAACCTCCCTCCTGCAAAAGCCAGGATAACTAACTATTATGCTGGTCGGTATTTTGACTTGAATTTGCTTCCTATTCAACGGGAAAGAGGAAGAAGAGCGTGCTGGCATGCCAGACTGTGGTATCTCTCCTTTGTGAGACCGACTTACAAGCTAGGCAGTAAAAATATAATCACATTGACTCCCGCTTTAGGATTCATTCCATCTTCACAGTACCCCCACAGCTTGATTTTTCACATTGCCATGCATCGTTTTCCCAAATCTTCTCTTAATTAGTACATTCTGAAGCTAAGCCACGCTTCTCTTTCCATCTTAGACCCCTTCCCTTTCCCTCTCCACGACCCATATTCACAGGGGGCAAGGCCTGGCTTCACCGAACGGGGCCTGGCAAACATGGAGGCAGGAAACGCAGGGAAGAACGGGTCTGTCAGACTCATTTTCTTCTAGGTTTTACAGCTGAATGTTTATTTCAGACCTGGGAGGAAACACAGTGGCTCCGCTCCATTCCCCTGCCTGCACAACCCGCTCGATGCAGAGCCCCCCGAATCCACTTTTCACTTCCACTCCACCAAGGAAACAGGAATGTTTCTATAACCACAATACATATTTGGATTATTAATTTTTTTTTTACCAGCCCTCACTCTTCTTTGCTTGCAAATCTTGTCACCATATTGAATTTTATGGTCAGACCTTTATGCTATCAGAAAGCAAAAATATCCCGATGCCTTAATTTCCCTTTGTCCTCCCACATACAAGCTTGGTTCTGTAATATCCACTGGGTTGGAATGAGCTCTGTGTCTACAATGCACAGGCAGGTGAGGCTGCCTGTGTAGGCAGCACAACCCCCTTCTGCAGCCACCCCACAAAACTCCTTCCAAGCAGGCTCTGCAAAAAAAAAAGAAAAAAAGAAAAATGCCACCTCGGCATCCTGAAACAGTACCATTGATAAACTCTGTCTGCTTTTCCACTTTCCCAAAGACTTTCAGGAGAGAAGGGAGGAGTTTCCTTGGAATCTTCCGAGTGCTCGGAGCGATCTGGCTGGCCCCAGGCACAGCACTGCTTCCCTGCCTCTGACAGGAGTGCCCTTAAATGCCAAACAGGGAGTATAAAAACACGGAACTGAAAGATCTTCTGATGAGTTTACTATTAAACTATAACAGATGGGGCTGTCTTAAGCTCTAGGCATCAGGAATGATGCCCAATTTTAGATACAAATTAGTTATTGAGAATATTTATAGACGGTAAACTCCTCGGGCACACGGAGCAGCCCTGTGAAATTACAGCCTAAATTAATTGCTCGCCTTTCAGCTGACAGACACGTGCAGACACACTGTCTTGGTTGTTCAGGAGAACTTCCAGTGCAACCCAGGACTGGGTGTCACTTCGTTTCACAAGGTTGCAGAGCACCAAGCTGCCTCTCCTGAGCTGCACTGCAGCCTGGCAGTGGGATGGCACATGGAAATAGGCTGAGGAGGGGATGGATGGGGAAGCCATCACCACTGCTTTGACAAGTGCTTTCACCAATTACACTGTAAAAAAATAGTTTGGTCTTAAAATAGTATTGGATTCCTTGATTATGATAGCTTTGGATCTCCTGGGTGCTCTGTTACTCACCAAGCAAGAGAGAAATGGCACTGAACTAAATTTTGGAATAACTATCTGCTCTTCTTCCAAAGCTTGAGGTGAACAATGCTACCTCTGGAAGAAAAAATGGAAAGTATCATGTGAAGGGGGAAGGGGGACAAAAGAGAAAAATGACCAGAAAGAAGAAAGGGAGGCTGTGAAGGTCACATCAAAACAAAACAGTTCCTCCTGAATATATTTTTCATTGAAATGTAACATCAGAAGACTGTACAGAGTCGTGTACTTTTTTGCAGAGAACATTGTATCAAACTAAAATTTGTTAGAACCATCATGTAGATTAGGTCAGCGACAACAAAAATGTAACCTAAAATCTGGCATAAGGGAAGAGCAAAGCAGCCTGAAGATCCACCCAGTCATGCTAAAACTGAGCTGTGACACCACTGTTGGAAGACACCAAACCAAGAAGTTAGGTGTCGTGATCCTCCTTGGGTAAATACCTGGCTGTATCAAACAGCAAATCTCAAAGGAAGGATTCGTGATGAGGTAATTTTACTGCTCATTCATAGTGCCCTGCATTTGCTGTGCTTAAAAATAGACACTTGTAGCAATGGCCTTTTTATTACCCGAAGGGGAAGAAAAAAAAAAATAAATCACATATACACCAGTCCTTTTTCTTTCTGCTAGCAAAGGGAGGCAATTTGATCCAACGTGGGCTGAAACCTGAGTAGGTCACTGTACACCATGATAAAATTCCCTAATCCCTGAGCCAGATTTCCCTGAGGGGGCCCTCCTACTTCTCCTTCACTTTCCAAGCTCACTTTTCCATTCCCTCTCTCGTCTTTTCCTCCCCTTCATCTCTTTCATTTCCCCTACCTTAAAGCCTTGATATCTGATCTGCTGCTGATACTCGGGTTACAGTTTTTACAGCTTAGGCTGTCTATTGCTGTATACATTCCTTTCTTTCTGCTCTGCCGTGATTACTTACCAGAGCTTATTTTACACTGGTCCAGATGAAAGCAGTTCAGATGAAGGGAAACAGTCAGCCTGTTTGAACATTACAGATATGAACCTACACAAGGGCACATTGTGCTCCCTCTGTCACTTTGCTGCAAACATTTTGCACAGTGTAACCAATTTGCTACATTATCGTATTCCTCGGGTTTATGAAGAACAACTAGACATCTTAATCCACCAGCACAGAAAGGGAGTAAGTGGTCGCCACAGGATTTTAACTTTCTCAACAAGTCAAAAAATTCAGACCACTTTTATTTTCTTCTCCCCCTCCCTCCCCCCGATGACAGCAGCCAACTGTCCTCCTGGAAACGCAGTCTCCTGACATAGCACATACAGCATGGTTTACACTGAGAGGTGGCCTGTGTTTTGGGAAAGGTTCTGCCATCAATCATCTCACTCTGAACCAGAAATCACATCAGTTCAAAACGCCCTTTCTACCCGTCTCTAATTTTTAAGTCAGCTGAAATCTGGAGGTCCCTAAGCTCAAGCAGCTACCCTCGACTAAAAAGGAGAAACTCCCTACGTGAAGGTTAATGCCAGTGCTTAATACCAAAGCATTAGTTTAAAATTGTGTAATTTTTCTCCTTCACACAATGTTGTTTTTGTTTCTTCCTCACCCTTTCAGACAAACATCTGTTATACTGTAGAAGAACAACTATCTCCCAAACCGCTGAGTGTGCCTGCAGCCAAAGTAAACAAAACAAACCCAGAGGATCCAGCACAGTCAGCCTTTATATCCAGCCAGGATAACATTTCACATGTTTTGATTAAAATTAGCTAATTTGTAATCCTAGAACCTATGAAACTTAAAAGCTGCAATCCATACAGATCGCATTAGGCGACGCTCTGAGGGGCCGATGCCCCACGCGAGAGACCTCGGCGGCCCCCAGAGCCATGTGGGGTTACAATGACTCTCCCTCTGCCCGAGCCTGCCACCGAGCCCTCTCCCAAAATAGGAGGTGTCACATATCTCACAAAGAGTAACACCGACCCGTTATTCGGTTCATTCCACCCCCCAGCACAACAACTCCTGCCCGCGTTTCCAGTCGACGCGAACCGTGTGGACGCTCCTCGCGCCTGCCTGAGGCACAAAAGGGCACCTCAGCCAAACCAGAGGTGTGCAAAAGGAGGGAGACAGAAGGGGACTGTGCCTTTCCCTCCAATTTGACGTGGGGAGGTCGGTGCCCTGGGAAGCAGGGGTGATTTCCACCACACACATCCACACGCTCGCCCATGCGGCGCAGGTTCGGCACAAACGTGTGACATCCTCCAGGCAGCCCTTCCACTTCCAACCAGCCTTGTCATGAAATGACACATTCCAATCAAACGCCAGCAGCTTTATCTCATCACCAGACTCTGCCGTTTTAGTCGCTTTCCCTCTGCACCTTTAACAACTAAAAACCCCAACAACTTCAGCCGAAGTCTCGCAATTCACGCCGCTCCCAACTTTGGGGAACCAGAGACAAAACAAACAGGGTGGAAAACAGGCACAAAAAACACACCCCAACCAACCGGGATCGGCCAAGCCTGGGTGGGAGCAGCGACCTAAGGGTAAGAGACATCCCGACACAACATTTTATTGTGCCACCACAGCCACCCGAACATCTGGAGCGGCCGCCTCCAGAGCACAGCTGGACCTGGGGCGGCTTCCCAGGCGGGCAGGAGAGCCCTGAGCAGGGATAAACGGGATTCCATGGAAAGCAGCCCTGGGCCGAGCTGTGCTGCCACCCCTCACGGCACCTCTGCCCCCTAAGGAGGAGGAGGAGGAGGAGGAAGAGGCAGCGAGAGGGAGCAGGAGAGAAAAGGGAAGCCCAAGTGCGGGAACGATGCGCGGCTCAGCCCGTAACACTCGGGGCTCCCACAATTTAATCACACAGCTGCAGCTGGCTGCTGGGGGGAAAAAATACATAGGAGAGAAACACAGCGTTTAAAAAAGAGGTCCCTTTCTCTCCTAACTTTAGGGCTTCCCAGCTACCTGAGGGGTTGGCTGTAAAAAAAAATAAAGAAGGAAAAAAAGAAGAAAAAAAAACCCCAAACAAACCGGTTCATCAGTAGCACCCGAGGAGCTTAAAAGCCCAACAAGGGAGAGGGTTTTTTTTCCCCTTCTTTTTTTTTCTCTCTTTTTTTCCCCCTTTTTTCCTCTCTCTTTTTTTTTCCCCTTTTTTTCTCTCTTTTTTTTTCCCCTTTTTTTCTCTATCTTTTTTTTTTTTCCCTTTTTTTTGTCTCTCTCTTTCCC